GGAGAGGGTGAGAGCTACTTTGGTGCTAGAGAGAATAAAGCTGATGAAACCTGAATGGAGGAAGGAAATTGATAAATACATAATCTCTTTTACAATGTCATTTGATGGAAAATAAGGTTCCCTGAAGCGAGAGGCCTAGTAGGACAGTCCTCCAATAAAATGAATGATGTTTTACTTTTGATCAATACAAAACTACTTCTAGGGCAAAAATAAAATGTGTGGTGATGAATGTAGACGGGAATGGCATTGCCAACATTTATTAAATGAAAATTGTTTTTCTGTAAGCAGTTTAACTAGACTCCAGTACATTTAAATAAACAGTATTTCTTGAATGTGACAGGCAGATTTGTAAGTGTACTGATGAGTTAATAATGCCTCCTGACTTCAGGAACATTATTCTTGATCCAATAATTGTAAGATATGAATGAATCTCTAGACATTTGCAAAGGCCAGAATGCATCTTTCAATCCCTCATGAACTTTCTGTTCTCTCAGTACATAATCATCTTTGAGACTCATTTTCAGAGATTCTCTTTCTCAAACACAACATTGACAAGGATTAACTCAGTAGGTGTTTGTGTCAACAAATACATGTTCTCTGACAGTATTAACAGTCTGGGGATGATTTGATTTGTTTTTAAATGAGAAGATAGAACTGTACCTTTCCTCGTGCACTAATATGGATTGATATCTATACTACCCACACAGAGCTAAGAAAGTCTATATATTAACTTATTTGGAAATTATCTCATATTGAATTTTTCCACTATCATTAAAAACAACAGCTATGCTTCGTAAGTGTTGATTGTCATGTTTTGCCTTTTAGATCAGACTGAGATGCCTCCATTGACCCTGCCTCACTACTTAAATTCAACCTTTTTCTCATGCGTTTCTGTCGCATGTTACAGCTACGCAAACCCCACACAGCGTCACTATGAGTTGGAACCAACTCAACAGCATCTATAAATCCTATGACTGTCAACACTATAATGATCTTTAGTTTTTATTTGCTGAGTGTTAAAAAAAAAATCTGAGATATCTTTAAAGCGTGGATCTCTCCTAACTATTATATGTTTATCTTTTCTTTCTCTCTTTGAGATAGGATTTTTGTGTGTGTGTATTCCATGGAGGTTGTGGTACCTCCATGGTTTCTAAGGAATGCATATTGGATGAATGATAAAACATGGAATTGGAATGGATGTCAAGAAATCATCTAGATTTTCACCTTCCACCAGCCTAATGCAATCTGTATTTATTAAGGTTTTTTGTGAGGTTGAACTAGATAGCACTAAATGAGAGAGTTTGGTGTTCAGTACAAGGTGTTTCAGGTACAACATGCCTACCAGTCATACTTTTTAAAGTTCTGCAGATGCCACTGGTTTCCATGGTAACTATAACTGGATTAGAAAATGCTTCCCTGCCCCTTGTAGAAAAAAGTTTCTGACCTCATCATTCATGAGTCTATGCCATGTGAGTAACAGATTTAGTCAACCTCTAATTGCTCCACCTCTTTGCTCTTGGATCTTTTTGATTTCCATTATATTGACTTACTTCTAAAGCAGGTGGGGTTTCTATAGAATTATAAGAGCCTTTTTTTTTTTTTTTAATAATATAACTGAAAATTGACCTTAAGAAAGTGAGAAGCTAGAGCTTGAAGAAACAGAAGTGTAATTTATGGTTTCCAGATTAATTTTTGAAAATATGGAGTTCACATTTAATAGGTACATGTGAGTATTTGAGAGCAGAACATAAATCTGTGGGTATGGATGCAGCTGCCTCTCAAAATGTCTGGATGTTTTTTGCAGTCTATCAAATATGAGGGGCTAAAGGTTTTTTCATAGCTTGAAACAAAAATATGCATTTCCACAAGTAAGAAGTGTGTGTCTTTACAACTGAAATCTGGGAGAAGTAGTAAGATGTGTAGGAAGCCTATGCCATGACTGGCAAAGGGAAAACTTGTTTCTAAACCTTTGGAACAATGTTAATTTTAAATAGTTTATAAATATTTTTATGTTTTCATGTTGTTTTGAGTTTTGTACCACACGTGGACCATCTTTGATAGCTCAGTGACTGACTTAAAAGAAGACAGAGACTCCAGGAAAGTAAGAGAAAAGAGTGCATTGTGTACATGAAGTGATCTGATACCTTTTGAACCTAGAGATTCGTAGACGGATGCAGTCAGCCACAGAAGACTCCACTTAAATCATTAATAGCAAGCTCTTTAATGCAGTCCTCCACCCTGAAACGAAGGTTATCTGAGTAACAAATTTGTGTCCTAAGAAATTTTTATACTTCATTTCTATGGATAAGGGAACATTTCTTCTAGACAACATAAAGGACAGTTGTTAGTGCTGGGCTTCTGGATGCCACAGGGAGCCTCCAGCAAAGAGAGCACATACCATGGTTTGAGAGCTCTTCCAGTGGAACTCGCAACCTGGGATAAAGAATGGGTGTGGACTTGGCTGAAGACTTGCAAGTCAGTGTCCAGGTTAAACTGAGAACCTGGCTTTCAAAATGGAATTGGAGATCACTACTTAGAAATTCACTGACTCTATTCAGAAAGTAAATGTTGGAACAGGCTATAGGGCTAGACAGTGGAATCAAGAAGGAATTAATAATAGCATGTGCATCAAAAACCCAAACTAAAGTTTTCCTACAGTAAAAACACAAAGGAGAAGTAAATGGGAGAACAGGGAGAGATGGCAGTTTCCAGAACCCTAGGGACAGAAGCTGCCAAGGAGTATTTACATGTTTTCTGTTATTGGTGAATAAAAATAAAGAATGCAAAGTCTTAAAGCTCTAGGAAGAAATGAGGGAATTTTGCTGCAAGGAGGGACAACTGATGGCAGAGAGGAAGCCAGAAGAACTTCTGTAAAAACCTGTGTTTGGGGCCATTTAGTATAGTAATGAATGCACTCGTATTTCCTGGGGCATTTCTGTGTTGTTAGGTGCCATCGAGTCTGTTCTGACTCATAGTGACCGTATACCCAACAGGGTCCTGTACCAGTTTCAGAATTGTTGCTCCATTTGAGCCCATTGTTGTATTGTAAGACAATGGAATAATAATTGCTTCAACTTGTTGAGTATATTTGGGCCAAGGAAAGAAAGCATATTATAATTTTAGAGTAATTCCTCTTTTCAAAAGATTGAAGAGTTTTTGTGCTTAAAAGAGAAAAGCATCTGAGAAATTCACTAATGTGAATCCATTTCTGTTGCTGGTGAAATACTGAGGGCATTGGTGTCTGGTAAGAACATTCATTTTCAATCTTGTAATTCAGGTGTCAGTTAGTCACTTTCTGTTTAGTTCTTACGTCTCAACATCTATGCTTTATGGCTCTGCTGGAATAGAGTTGACATGGTTTCTTGACATTATGATTGGTGTATGTAAATAAGCATTATCTCCATGTATTGTTTTTGTTTTTAATTCCTTTCCTTGTCTGACCCATTTTCCCTAGCAACCTTTATAAACAACGGCTTTATTTTCAACAGAAAAAAAATGAAGCTTATCACCTATACCCAAGCTATTTCCTAAAGTGTTTTATTGTGTTTCTTCTTCTTCGGCATGTAATTCTTATAAAATAATTATTATAAACTCTTAAGGAATCTATGACGGCTTGGATGGGCCAGTTCATTCAATTTATTTTTGTCATAAAAGTCATTGTGCACTGACTACATCCCTTCTCATTCTGATTATCCATCCTCCTGGATGTGGCATTATTTGCTTCAGCCTGACCTATCATTTATTGCACATCTGTTGAGTGCAGAGATCTTTATAAACTGCTGTGGGGAAATGAAAAATGAAAGGGTCCTTGTGGTTCTATAGGCATTTATATTCTGTACCTTCATTGCTATAGCAATCGAGTGATGAAGACTTTTATTAGTAGCTCCTCTTCTTTGTTCCCATGGTGGTGGACATCAACTTATTGACCAGCTTTTGCCTGGGGAGATGGGTGTGTGTGTGGGGTGGGGTGGGGGGGACGGGACACAAGAACAGGTACGATCTAACTGGACTGCGTGAAATCTTCAGAGTTAGCTGTAGAATGGCAACACTGAATTAATTAGAACGCTACTTTAGACTTGCAAATAAAAAAAATGTGATAGTTCCCTAGATATTTTTTGTACTTCACACCCAATTGACGTACTTGGAAATAACGGAGTTTATTTGCAGCGATTACTTCCTCAGGGACAGGCTACAAACACATTTATTTATCCACTACTGTTTATACAGACTGTGAGTTATGAGGTGACCTCCATCTAGGTGAGATAAATTCTGGTACTCCAGAGTCCAGCCAGCCTCATCTATTGTTGGAGAGCTGAAGTGCATATATTGATATTAGTTTTCTTGAGGAGTGAGGCAAACCTCATCTCTCACACATAAGGTTGCAGCGAATGGGTTATAAAACTGACAGACAACAATTAAACGGGGTGTTGCTCATCTTTATTGAATAGGGGTCAAGTTTGGATTCTTTGCCAAGCTGTTGTGGATGCTTTTATGTGCATGTCTCCAAGACCATCATCTCACTACCTAATTGGTAGGCTGTGCATTCTGAAACAAACAGACAGGGACAAACCTAGTCACATACAAGGTATCACTGAAATCCTATGAAATAACTCCAGTAGCGAGAGGCCACACTTTCAGTAGCTGCTCCTACTGTGTTTAAGATGACTGATTGTCTCCATTGCTCTGCTCTGCTTCAATTACTAGCGCCTCAAAAGATCAAAGCCATGCAATGTGAATTATATTTTGCTTAGTGTCAATTTAGGAATGACTACAAAGGTTTGTTTTCTCTTCCTTGAAAAAGCAATTTAGCTTGCAGAAAATAATTAAATTTGCAATATCTTGTAATAATTAGAAATTTGAAATGGGAGGGTTCGTTATTTCAATCAGATTTTGCTTGTTGCCCAGTAGAATGTTCAAAGATATCATCCTGGCAATTTCCAATGCCGTAGCATTCAGTATATATATACATAAATTTTTTTTTTTTAACTTTTCCCCTGCAGGATCATGCAGATTTGCGAAGCCATTTCTTCACAGTTGGTATGAAGCTAGAAACAGTGAATATGAGTGAGCCCTTTCATATCTGTCCTGCATCAGTGACTAAGGTGGGTTTTCCTAGCTTGTTCCTCACCTCAGCCTCCAATGTGGATCAAATAAGTCATTCAGCTCAAAGCTCAATAAAATACTCTTGCTTGAGAATGTGCAGCAGTGCCAAATACACCCAAGATGATTGTCTTTTCTTCAGTGCAGTACTGTTTTAGACTCTCGTTTTATCGCTGGTAGCATCAGGTGAGGGAGCCCTGTTTGTGTTTAAGTGCTAGGCTGCTCACCAGAAAGATCTGCTGTTCAAACCCACCAGCTGCTCAATGGGAGAGAGATATGCTGTAGTCTGCTTCTGTAAAGGTTATAGCTTCGAGAGAGACCTTAGGATGCAGTTCTGTTCTGAATAGACTCGGTGGTGCATGACAACAACAACAACCACCATCTTTTCAGGAGCAGATTACCAGATCTTTCTTCTCACAGAGCAGCTGGTGGGTTCAAACTAATGACCTTTAAGTTAGCAGCCAAGCGCTTAACCATTGTGTCATCAGGGCTGCTTTTATTAGTCATACCAAAAACCAAACCCAAACCCACTGTTTCTAGTGAGTTTATTCTGACTCATCGTGACCCTGTGTAGGGTGTCTGAGACTGTAAATCATAGGAGCAGACAGCTTCATCTTTCTCCCACAAAACAGCTAATGGGTTTGACCCACTCCAGTGCCTAACCCACAGCATCACCAAGGCTCCTTATATTAGCTACAGCCACATATAATAATTACTTTAAAACTGCTGTTTGTTCCTCTTCTCATTAAAATAATTAAATTACTTTAAGAATTGCCTATTATAGTGATACATGTTATATAGTGCATTAGGCAAATCTGCTGCACAAGACCTCTTTAAAGTATTCAAGAGCAAAGATGTCAATTTGAGGACTGAGGTCCACCTGACCCAAGCCACAGTATTTTCAATAACCTCATATGCATGCTGAAGTTGGACAGTGAATAAGGAAGACCTTAGAAGAATTGATGTGTTTGAGTTATGGTGTTGGAGGAGAATATTAAAAGTACCATGGGCTGCCAAAAGAACCAACAGGTCTGTGTTGGGAGAAGTACAGCAAGAATGCTCCCTGAAAATTAGGATGGCCAAACTTCGTCTCTGATACTTCAGACATGTTGTTAGGATGGACCAATCCCTGGAGAAGGACATCATGTTTGCTAAAATGAATGGTCAGAGGAAAAAGAGGGAGCCATCCAACGAGATGGATTGGCACAGTGGCAGTCGTAATGGGCTCAGGTGCAGCAATGATTATGAGATTGGCCCAGGACCAGGCAGTATTTCGTTCTGTTGTGCATAGGGTCTCTATGAGTTGATACCAACTCGATGGCACCTAACAACAACAACAACAACAACATTATAGTGGTAACCTGCTTTTCCTGCACTGAAAGCAGCTTGTCTGATTGATTTATGTTTGAAAATAACCTGAACATGGTGAAAAGAAAATTCCTACCTCTAATATGCCGGAACTTGTACTTCCTTTTCCTTATCTGTTTCTAAAGGAAAATTCCAGCTACTAAGATTTATAGATTTTAAATGAAATGACTTTATTTCCTGTAAAGACATTTTCATTTTGATCTGATACTAATTTGCTTCCCTGTAGGAGGCAGCTGGATGAAGGCACTTATGGTTACTTATAAAATGTGTGTTGCCAGCTGAACTGGTCTCTTATCAGTGGTGGGGAAAACCAACAAACTAGCATTCATAGCAAATGTGTGTTTTGGTTAATGGCCTTTTGCCCATTTTAGTAGGGGAACTTAATTAGAGGTTTAAAAGTTAATTCCATTTTAATTTTGTATTCTGAAGGGGAGACTAAGCTTGTTAATGCAGCGATTAGTGTTTTAAACTAGATTTTCTCATTCAAGATTTGATATGGCTTGAGAAATGTAGTGTTGTATATGTTATAGAATATGGAAAATAAGTATTTCTAGGAATTTTTCTTCTTTCCTAAATGTTTTTTTTCTTTAGTGAACACAAACTGTTTTTCATGTTGTTGTTGTTATTAAGTGTCACCAACTTGGTTCCGACTCATGGTGACCCTGTATAGCAGGCGTGGAGAACATCCAGCCCATGGACCTGTGTTACTGAGTTAAGTGTCATCGTGTCAGCTACGACTCATAGTGACCCTGTGTAGGGTTCTGAGGAGTAGCTGGTGAGTTTGAACTGCCAACCTTGCAGTTCAAACTGACCTTGCAGTCCAGTGCTTATCCCTACAGCACCACACCAGGACTCTGTATAAGGTCATATAAGGTCAGTGAAATCATTTGGTCTGGCCCTGCCACTGCAACCGCAGTTCTAGCCATTAAAATGTTTGACCAAATATAGCAGGCTCATTTTCAAGTTAATAATTTTGTATGGCCTGTGAATAATGTTATAAATATCTAAATGACCCTTGGCAGAAAAAAGATTCCCAATCCCTGCTACAGAGGGTTTCCAAGGAGCGACTGCTGAGTTTGAACACTGGCCTTGCAGTTCAAACCAACCTTGCAATCCGGTGCTTATTTTACAATGCCACACCAGGGCTCCATGGTATATACTGTTAATTTTTTAAGGAGTTAATACATATGAGGGAAAAAAAGCAGCGACATATGCCTTGGCTGATCTGATTTGAATGAAACCCATGCCCTCTAATTCATGTGCCATCCATATGTTTTTATTTGGCATTGCCTTTGGGGGTCTTTACTGTGTATTCCAGCACATTTCCCCAAAACTAGAGATTGAGAACATTGTTGAGACGTGGCCAGAATTTTCCTTCATTCTAGCAGCAGGTGATACTATGATGCCAGCTGCCCTTTTATCTGGACTAGGTATCCATTGTCCTCAATGTAAGAGACCACCACTTCAATGTCACTTGGTATTTATAAAACAAATTAACAGGTGCAGACAGGCTTGGAAGCATGGTGCCCTTATACAATAAGGGCTGGGCTGTGAGCCACAAGATCAGCAGTTTGAGCCTACCAGTCACTCCACATGAGAAAGATGAGGCTTTTCTGCTCCAGAAAAGACGCACAGCCTCAAAAACTCTGCACAGGGTCACTGTGAGTCAAAAGCTACTCATAGACACTTCGTAACAACAGCAACAAGATGGCCTTAGCTTGTCAATAGTAGATTATCTTACACTTTTTATGGCTTTAAATATTAGTATATGAAGTTAGGAATTCTGGTGTGGTGCTGTGGGTTAATGCACCAGATTGCAAAGCCGTTTGAACCACATGATTGGTGGTTCAAGGTCACCAAGTGCTCCTCGGAAACTCTATACAGGGTCACTATGGGTCAGAATTGACTCGATGGCACTTAACAACAACAGCAAATATGAAGTTAGAATGTGACATATTAATTATAATTTGTTTCAGTGCAGATCCCTTTAGACTTTTTTGAATAGACTTTCATTAACAACCATATGTTTTTCACAATAAATAGTTATTAGCATAATGGTTATGAATCGGGCTGCTAACCTCAGGGTCAGCAGTTTGAAACTACCAGCTATTCCGCTGGAGAAAGATGAGGCTTTCTGCTCCTGTAAAGATTTACAGCCTCGGAAACCCTGTTACAGGATTGCTATGAGTCGGAACCGACTCCATGGCACATAACCACCAGCCACCGTTCTAAATAGACCTCATTGTGTGTGTGAGTATGTGTATGTGTGTATAGGAGGTGCTTGCTGATTTTTAACCTTCTCCTTTTCCTTTTCCTTCTCCTTTTATTTTTTCTTACATTTTATCCCAACGTTACAATATTTAAGTCTTTTTGGTGTGAACCAAAAATATAGCATTATTTTTTTTCTTTGATCAACCACATGTTGTAAGATGCGAGGACTGTCACTTACACCTCTGTCTCTAGAGCTTGGGTGGTAGGTACCTTCCCATGTTTAAGACTCATCATGGAACGAGGTATCCGAACATTCTTAATATCAAATATAATTATAAGTATATATTTCTGTCAACACTGTAAAATGTTTTGAACAATCAGCTTGAGAATATAACAAACTGATGTTATTACTCATCATAATGAAGATTAATCTTATCCCCAAGTGTGAGGCTTTTCTTCGTGGGACAACTGTTGAAGAAGTAAACAAATAGCATTAAAGCAAACAAAAAAAATACAGACAAACATGTAGTAGATTCGCTACTGAATGACCAACCTGTATCAGTGTAGCAGAATTAGGTTTGTTTCAAAACAACATGAGAAAATGACAGAAGATGATGATGCCAGCAATATCATCTATACAGGGGCTATAAAAGTTCTTGGAACAGTTCCATTATCTTTCAATTCCATATTTCCACAAGCTTTTTGAATGCCCCTTATATGTGAATTACATCATATAGTTTAGACAAAAGTATACTGGAATTAGATGGCTTGGGTTCTAGTTCTGTTTCTGCCAGCTTTGAGCCTCATGGTCTTGGGTAAGTTAGTGAGATGCTCTAGGTTTCAGTTTTTAGACCCTCTGGGTTCTGGACTGGATGGACCCTAAGGCATTAGTGGTGAACCATATGGGAATATAAAGCCTGATGGATTTGACGAAGTGCGTTAACCTTTTCCTCGGAAGTATGCACACATAAATGTTCATTTGATGTTTTTAGTGGTTTTTGGAGATTCATTAGTGTCCATCATTATGAGAGGGCTTCAAACTGTTCATGGGAAATAGAATTATTGAATGACAATGGGATTTTTCCATAAACTTTTTGATGTTCCCGCGTATGGTACAATGAATGGCACTGAGTGTTTGTCAATAGTCTATAGAACTATATATATATATATATATTTTTTTAGTTTGTGAGTGTGTGTATGTGTGCATGGAAGTCTAGACCACATTGTTATTGTTAAGTGCCACCAAGTCAGTTCCCTGTATAGGGTTTCCATGATGGGATTGAACCGCCAACCTGGTGGCTAGCAATCTGGTGCTTATCCTGTAGTGCCGTGCCTTAGTACAACAAATATTTACTAATCATTTATTGTGTGCTAGGTGTTATTCTAGACAACATAAAATATAACATATATAACACAACACGAAATATAATGTATATAACACAACACGAAATATAACGTATAGAACACAACACGGAATATAACATATAGAACACAACACGGAATATAACGTATAGAACACAACACGTAATATAACGTATAGAAC